ATTCAAAGCAATCTGACTTTCGCTGACAAAGTCTTTTTCGAAGTCGGTAGAATGTCTGGACAAAAGAAAAGTTATTTATACTTGTATTTTGAAACATCGAAAGTAAGAACTAGTATTTATAATAAAAGTAACTATAAAATATAGTTATTTGGTGGATTGCATTCTTTTAATTAATAACAAAATAGTTTGTTATAATATTGTATAATATAAAAAAATGACCAGGCATTTTTATAAAAAATAATTTAAGTTGAAAATATTAAAAAATAAATTATAAATATTCTTACATATATTTCATATTTAACTTAAATGATGAAAAAACAAAATTGTGTTTATATCCAATTTTTTATTTCAAATATGAGTTTTTATGATTGTTTTTGTCAAATTGTATTTTGTATCATTTTTAAAATTATAAAATTACTATATTATTACTATATATTATAATAAAACTGAAATATTAAACTTTTATTGTTTTTTTATAATCCACGATTGAATCCGTTTTTACTCCATAAATTGTATAAATGTCAATCACCAAAAATTCCCAATTATTAACAGAAAAAATGACCAAAAAAAACACGAAAAAAAACTAGAAAATGGAAAAAAGAACATCTTCGCTTCGTTCTTTTTTATTGTTTTTCAAATATATCAATGCCTCAACGTTATTGACCACAACAATTATTCGTACCATTAGTCGGGTTTTTTGAAATTAAATTTCAATTAATTCAATAAAAATATAATTTCGCACCAATAAATTATAATAAAACCTACACTTTGAGGATATTCATTACCTTTGAGGTTGTGATTTGCTCCGGATGGAGTGCAAATACGCGTTGTAATATGACAACAAAGTTTTGTTGTTGTTCTCCAAGCACGCCACTCACAACAAATTGCTCAAGCACTTTTGAAAACCCGTTACACTCAACACACACTTTCAAAATCCCTCTAAAGCACTCAGCCACTGCCATATTCATCCCAAAATTTTTTGTGTTTTTCGTCTTCAATACAAGTCGTGCAAATAACATGAGCCAAACGTTCATCCCGACATTCTTTCCAATCACTCCGTTACTTTCTATAAACAAAGTAATACTCCTCACAATATATCCAGACAACTGTTTCGCCAGTTCAAAACAATTCAACTTCTCTATCGAGACCATAACACTAGATATAAAAGTAGTAAAATCAATTCCATTGAGCACTACCACAACACTCTTCGGCAAATTGATCATCTTAAACACCATTCCCATCGTCTCAACTTTCTCATGTAAAAGTTCACTCCCCAAATTCAAATGTTCGATGCCACTCAAACTGTTGATAAAGTACTGCACCACACCACAATACTCATCGTTCACAATAACACTCTTGATCTTCTCTTGCTTCGTCACCATCTGTAACACACTTGACCCAACAATCATTGCGTCGACAGCCTCTGTCCCAAACCACCCCAAGATCGCGCGTAAAGGTGGTACAACACTGAAGTTATCGCCAAGTGCCAAAACCCACACATTCAAAAACTCGATAATAGACTTTTTGATCCCTTCTTTGATGATCGGGACTTCGCTGTTGACTATTTTCAACATAACTGGACAGAACCCTTCAAACAACTTCGATATTTCAGTTTTGTTGAAGAACAAATTGGTTTTCAAAAATGTAGAGCAGAAAGACAGTCTGCTTCCAATATAAGCCGTCGAAAAATAGACGTCTGGTTGTGTGAATGCCAAATTGCACTTGTTGATTTGTGGAAGAAAGAGCGAAGCAATAACATCTCCCAGTAACTGTGGGCTAGTCACACACCCGATAATGGTATATACATCTTGGTGTTCTGATAACTTCTTTGTGTTCCATTCAGTGTCGTCGATAACAAGTGTTGTTTTTACCATCTCCACAGCCCATTGTTGCAATGGCTGAACTGCGTCTTTCAACTTTCGGAACTCCAACAAGGCCTCTTTCACCTCCTCAACCATTTTTCTGTGTGCCGCAAGTTGTACACAGAAATCAATAATTTGCATGACGCTTTGGACAGGAAGATACATAAAGAATCGCGTGAGCGCGGGAATGACCGGGCATTTCGTTCCAACAGTTGTTCCCACCTGGAGTGCCTTAATATAAAACTTATTGACATTGTCGACAATTACATTTTTAATATTCTCCTCATTCATTAATAAGTCTGGAAATTGGAGTAAAAAATAAGAGTGACACGTGACGCTTTCCACAGAGCAGTTGCATTCATTGACCTTCAGCATTTCTCCAAGGAACTGGAGTAGAATAGTCGCCTGTTCGTCAATGGACGCAGCCGCTCTGTATATTGCAGCGAGGCTTTTCTCGACGTTTGCGGCATCGTCGTCATCAACTGAGTCCTTCAACACATTTTTGTAGCTCGAAAAAAGTCCCCTATATATCCCAGCTATTCCAATCTTGACCGAATCGTTCGAATTTTGAGTGATTTGTTGAGTTATTGGTGAGTAGTCAGAAAAATATGAGTTAATGATTTTTGTTATGACACTCGAAAATTCCATTGAATTTTCTATTTCCCCCTTTTCAAATAACAGAACGTACAACAAAAAATGATCCACAACAATTTTGTGGATTTCTAGAAAGTCCATTTGGTTCAACGTGCTCTTCCCATACAATATTGAATTGACGGGGAAGTCTCTTTCCACTGCCAATACGATTTCGGTCAGGCAGGTCCCCAAC